GGCGTGCTAATCTCTTCAGTTTAAATGATAAGTTTTAATGAATACCTTAGAAACATGTGCACTGAAGTCTTGAATTAATTAATATGAGATAATATCATAGATATTTGCTTATGCAATTGAAAAGGTAATTTAATAACCACTAATGTGACACAGCAGTGTTCAGAGACTATAGCTATCTAGCATTCAGAAGGAGAGTCTTAAAAAAGGACTTTATAGTTGTCCTGGAAGTTGCATATGTATGTATGTATGTATGTATGTATGTATGTATGTATGTATGTATGTATGTATGTATGTATGTGCGTGCGTGCGTGCGTGCGTGCGTGCGTGCGTGCGTGCGTGCGTGCGCGCATAAATTTCATTTATATCTCATCTTTCTCAATTACAGGAGCCAAAACAGCTCATAACATAAATTAATATACAGTATATAGTTTTAAAAACACAATGGCTATCAGAATTTTTTTTAAAAACCTATGGAATAAGTTATTAAACTTGCACAGAAGCAATATTATTTTAAATTTTTTTAAAAAACCTATGGAATAAGTTATTGCATTAAACTTGCACAGAAGCAATATTATTTTAATTTTTTTAAATTAAAAACAAAACCAAAAAGAGATAGAGGCTCACCCATTACTAAAAGGACCTTCCGCATCAGCTATTCATCCAGTCAAAGGCCTGAGGGGTTGGCTGCATTACAAAATATTATCATAATTGTTCCAGAATTGACATGGTGGAATTGATACAGTGGATCCTTGACTTACAGACGGCTTGACTTACAGATTTTTTGAGTTACAGACTTCTCTGGCCGCAAAATTTAGGTTTGACTTGCAACCTGAGAATTGACTTACAGACCAGAAAAAAACCAAAATGGAACAAAAACAGCCTGTTACGGGATTAATCGGTTTTCAATGCACTGTAGGTCAATGGAAACTTGACCTACAGACTTTTTGACTTGAGAACCGCCTTCCAATACAGATTAAGTTCTCAAGTCAAGACCCCACTGTAATAGTTTCCATTGACAGTACAAAGTATTAAGTTCAAATCAGCCTGCGCTTTTTTCTTTCAGATCCACACTTTTTTTCCTTTGCTAACAGGGGCTTCTATTTATTTATTTTTTTTGAAAGTGAATTTATTCTCATTGGTTTTGGCATATGAGATTGTGTCAATATACAACAGCAATGGGGGTATATTGTAGAAGGTGACCTCTCTAAGTGGAGCATGTTACATTGGGGCATCCATGAGCTCTTGCTTTTTTCCATTCCCCACAAAATTAATTTTAATTTTTTAAATTATCGTTACCTACTCTAGTACAAGATCATCTGATTGCTGAAATTCTATGGTATTACTTCTCCATTCCCCCCCCCATTATTGCTCAGGAGTAGAGATAGGCGTGAACTGCTGGTTTGGCAGTTTGTGCCAGTGTGACTGATGGCCCAATAGGTGTTCTGCAATTCAGCGCCCTGCCTCTTCTGGTGACTGCCCACTTAGAGGCAATATCCTGGCTTCCCTGCCCCGCCTCCTCTGGATGATGCCTCTGAATAGGAGGTTCATATCCCTCTCTACTCGGGACAACTTGCTACACTGGCCATACCATCTCTTTTCATGTGATAATTAGTCTACTGCTATGTTTATTGTCTTTCACTTGACGACCCCTACCTGCACCCCAACATAACCATCAGGTTTACGACAGAGTACCATTTCTGAGCTTTTGCAAGACTGTCGTATTGCTGTATCAGGTAAGAGCTACAGCATCTATAGAAAAAAAAAAACCCGAAAACCCCAAAGTAATCCCAATGATTTAGAATGGACTAAGAAGATTGTTTTTGTGGCATGGGTATGTGTCACAGACACATACAATCCACCAGTGTTGGTTAGCCCAGCTTACACTAGCCATGATTACTGATAAGGTAAAGGTAAATGTTCTCCTTGACAATTTTTTGTCCAGTCGTGTTCACCTCTAGGGGGCGGTGCTCATCCCTGTTTCTAAGCCATAGAGCCAGCGTTTTGTCCGAAGACAATCTTCCGTCGCCACATGGCCAGTGCGACTTAGACATGGAACACTGTTACCTTCCCACCGAGGTGGGGCCTATTTATCTACTCGCATGTGCATGCTTTCAAACCGCTAGGGTGGCAGGAGCTGGGACAAACGATGGGCGCTCACTCCGTCATGTGGATTCGATCTTACAGCTGAAGATCTACAGACCTTACAGCACAGAGACTTCTGCGGTTTAACCCGCAGCACCATCATGTCCCATGATGGCTAGCTGACGATAAATGGAGGGCCAAGGTAACAGCAAAGAAGAAGAGGATCATTATGGCAGAGGCGGAAAGAGGGCTCCTCATTGCATATAGAACTGCAGCATATTTAGGAGCAGTGAGGACACTTGCCACAAAACTATTCCAGATTATTTGACATTTCTGTGTAAGCGTCAAGAACAGTTTCAAAGCCAAAGGAGGCTCTGAATCAACCTGATGCAAATCGGAATCAGAATGAATTGAATACTTAGTGTAATCACACCCTGCCTGAATAAAAATGTCTTTGCCTGCCCAAAGAATAGGTGAAGGTATTTCCTGTTCACTTATCACAATAGTATATCTGTATGTGTGCAGAAATATAAGTGCTGTATTCAGTATGTAAAAGAATAGTATTAAAAGGGCATTTCTATTGTGTTTAATATGCTGGCTAGATAGCTCAGTGGTTCAGGTATCTGGTTGCTGAGCCAGGAACTGGGAGTTCAAGCCCCCACTGTGCCTCCTGGGAGTAGAGCCAGCCTGTGTAGCCTTGGGCAAGCTGCACAGTCCTAGGATGCCCCCAGAAGAAGGGAATAGTAAACCACACCTGAGTACTCACTGCCTAGAAGTCTCTGAAAAGGGTCACCCTAGGTCAGAATAGACTTTATGCCACATGATTATTGTTAATATGTCACAATAAAAGCCATAGTTTGCTGTTATGAGTGGGGAAATAGAAATAATTCACAAACTAAAATCTGTGTTTTCAACCTAGGTAGGGACACCTACATTTCCATATGGGATTTTCTCATCTCTTTAGACTGCCGGTGGAATGAAGGGCATTTTCCTTTGGAAAACATTACATTCCTGATGCTTGTGATATGTTTCGGAGGGCAAAATGCAGACAAAACCATACATGCGTTAAAAATACATATAACCAAAATTAGTACTCTGTGGGGGAAATGCACTTAGATAATTTTTTTTAAAATGGGAAAATATCCTGGAATGTGCGAACTAGAAAAATATAAAGAAATGCATACACTTTCAAAAGTGGGTGTAGCAATATGCATGTATTTATATTCTGGAATCAAAGCAGGTTTTCTCATCCAATAAGAAACTTGGACTAGAGTTTTTTTGGGAAAGTATTTTTAGGTCTACAATGCTCCAAATTATATCTTTGGGTTCATGGTTTTAGAAAAGTAATTTTTTTAAAGCTCTGATTAGAACAGAGGAGTGTTGAGGACTTTTTGGAAAGCAGAATGAGACAGACAAACGTTAACATCCCTATATATGAATGATATTCATTGCAGAAAAATGCACTGGTTCTTCTGTTAACGTTTCTGATACTAAGCATCAAGTAAGGGAAAAGTCTCTATTGTAGCTAAAACATGTCACCCAAATCCAGTTTTTTAGCTCCTTTAGGACAATACCATTGGCTGAAATCCTGTGGCGTAAGTTATACCACATAAGTCAGATGCAGTAATTTTTCAGAAATAAAACATCTCTGGTTTGTCCCCGGGGCTCCTATGGATTCTCTTTCATTGTCAGGAAGCTGTTGTGGGCCACAGGACTGGGGAAAGTCTCTAATTACTGGATATCACCACTGTCACTGAAGTCACCCTGGTAGCAACTTCCCCATTCTGACCTGCAGCCCTCAATGACATCCTGACAATAAAAGGGATTCCATGGGAGTGCTGGAACCTTTGAGGAAGGGCTAATGATATAATCAGCCTTACCCAGTGTTAAGTTATGGCAACAGGATTTCAGCCAATGAATCAATGAAAGTGTTGAGTTACCAAGTTGCCATTGATTGAATGTGTCTGTTTGAGCTGGGATTTGCAAAATAGTAAATGAACATATTTTCAGTTTTCCAGTTAACCTTCATCGCTGGTTGAACTCAGCTTAAGTAAAAATATAGCATATTTACTCTGTGACCTTGTGTCAGATCAAGGTACAATCTGATTTGTTGTCTTTCACTGAAACCAAGCTGGCTGGAGACAGGTAGGCAAGTTCTAGTCTGGTACGTTTAGATTGGATGACTTGTCTAACCCCAGTTTTCAGGTAGGAATTAGCCATTATTATTTGCAGTGAGTTTTCTATACGTACAACAATCTAGTATAACCAGATTGCTATCCTTGATGGACTGAATCTTGTGGACTTTTATCCATGGACAGTTCCACATGTTCCTGTCTATACCAGTGACACTGAGTTGGCAAAAGTGATCTGATATGATGAAGTTTTTCCAAAGAATTTCAGCACCCCTGCATAAGCTACCTTTTTGGATACGGCCCGTGACTTCCTAGACTTTTGGACAATTGTGGGCCAGTCTAAAGTTACAATGGACTATTTCTTGGCCTGAAACACATCCTGTCTAATGTATTGTCTCAACATTAACTGCAGAGCGTGAGGCAGGAACATGATGTCACTCTGGAAACACTTAATATTACTCTTCTGCCATTTTAGTCTGGCCACACTGCAGTACTGGAGGTAACAAACAGTTACAAGCCATGCCACAGAAGGAGTGAAGCTACTCTTCATTAAAATGCAATTCCAATCTAACTTAGTTATTGCAAAAGAGAATTCCCTGGAAATAATTAGCTATTTGCAGCTAGTTACTTCCAGGTTCTGGTTTTACCGTCTGAAAGCCATTCGGGTTTCATACTTGAAATTATCCTTGGCTGCACTTGCATTTGTTCTGCCATTTGTTTCATATTATCTTTGGCAAGATATTAGCTAATGATTGCTTTCTTTTCCTCTTTTTCTTCCCTCTCCAGGCTTACCCTTGCACCAACGACAAGGAATGTGAAGTTGGGAAATACTGCCATAGTCCCCATCAAGCGACATCGGCCTGCATGATTTGTAGGAGGAAAAAGAGACGTTGCCACAGAGATGGGATGTGCTGCCCTGGAAACCGTTGCAACAATGGTACTTGCAGTGCTTTCATGCTTTCTTACGTATGCATTATGTCAGACCTGGGCAAATTGCGGCCCACAGGCCACATACGGCCTGAGAGCCACTCCTGTCTGCGGAGCCTGCGGCTCAAGAGGCCGGAAGCGATCCTTGCGCAGGCAACATGATGACACATCAAGTTGCCTGCACAGGACTGAAGACAGTCGGAGAGGAAGGCTGGGAGGGAACGGAGGACAGGTGAGTTAGGGTTTTTTTCTCTCCCCCCCCCCTGCGGTGAATGAATTACAACAAGAGAGGAAGGCTGGGAGGGAACAGAGGACAGGTGAGTTAGGGTTTTTTTCTCCCCCCCCCCGCGGTGAATGAATTACAACGTTCACATAAAAAACGTTCACATAAAAGTTTAGGGAGTTAAGTATGTCAGCCTTGTAGTTTGTTCACCGCAGGGCCTCACCCAATGGGGGCCTATCAACCACAAATTGGGGGCCCATTAATACCCACCCCCAAACACAGTTCAGATTTTTCATGTGGCCCCCTATAGAAATTAATTGCCCACCCCTGCATTATGTGTTGCACAGTTTTGAATTACAGTCAACCCTTGAGTTACGAACTGCCCTACAATTCAACTTATGAACCGCTTGCCATGCCAAGTGCCATAGTATTTCAGCTGTTTGTTTTCTTTCGTGGCTTGGGTCCAGAAGACATAGTCATTCACCACAGGGTTTCCTAAAAGAAAGTGTGGACAAAGTGTGGCCCTTCACAAGATGTCCATCAACAGTTTCTTTATTTTTCCAGCTTTCCTCACCATTGTCTCTGCTGGGGATGGCAGCCCCTCAACCTCTGGAGGGCCTCATAGGTAGCCTTTTGCCCTGTTTCTCCATTCTGACTCCCTGTGTATTCATTGACGTAGGTATCTGTATACCAGTGACCGAGAGTATTCTCACACCTCACATCCCGGCCTTGGAAGTGCCTCGGAATAAGAAAAATAATCACTATCCCACCAAAGACTTGGGCTGGCAGAATCTAGGGAAAGGGCAGACCAAGCCGACACACATGAAAGGTAGGATTGTATTCTTTGTGAATTGTCTTGTGAGACTCTGTTGAAAAATGGACATCGTTTGCTCTAAAATAAGAGTGTTTCGTGGATGACACATCACGAGTGTGACAGTGCTGATGTCCATTTTCCAGAGGAAGCAGTACTAGATGGCATTAGACAGCCTTCTTGCCTCTTACTATTTCCTGTTTTGCTTTATCTTGGTAGGACAGGCCTCTGTTCTACACAGCTATCTTCTGTTTGAAGGCATGCAGTATGAGGAAGGTTGTCCAGTGAAAACAAATCCAATCTGAAAAGACAGGGTCACTAAAGAGGGTCCATTAACTGTTTCTTTGTTTTTCTCAGTATCCCTCTGGCATTTATATCCTGTACTGTATCCCAGGTTCTGAGTCATTCTCCATGGAAATTCACTGACTAATGCGTATATGTACACATTTTTTTCAAACTGTGCACAGTTGTCCAAAGTATACATAGTTCTATGTGCCTTTTTTCCTTTGTAAGAATGCATCACAAGATACTGAAATATATGGTTATATGGGCAAGGTGAGACAAACTTCCTCTTGAGATGTGTGAAATAAGTTCTTTTAAGCAAAATACAGAACCAGTACATTACTCTCTCATAGTTATTAATATAATGCACTGGTGGGTGCCCATTCAGAGACAGTGCTTGGAGGAGGCAGGGCAGAAAAGCCGGGCCATTGGCCCTGAGTGGCCACCCGTCAGGGGAGGGGCCTAGGAATCACTGAACACCCTTTCTGCTGATAGATGTATCAACGCGAAGCACGAAACCAAAAGTTCATGCCCAACTCTACTTGTGATTGATTGCATTATAATGTTACTGTCGGTTTATATATGGTTACTTTAATGTTTATTGTTTTGTATTGTTTTATAAGCAATCTTGGGATCTAGTTTGGTAGAAATAAAATATAGATAGATAGATGAGATGAAATGTGCATTCTTTCCCAGGAGAAGCTGAGATTCCTCCACTCCCTGCTGTTCTTCCACCTGCAACTAGAGACCTTCATTTATTTGAGCAGACCTTCAGCATGGAACAGCATTATTAGTATTTTAGTTAATAGGTTTTGAAGTGTTCTAATTTTCACTGCATTTTAATACTACAAAGGGTTTAATTCAGTTTTAATACTTGTAACTAGAGATGGGCATGGATCACTGTCTTGGTTTATTGGCCAACCAGGTGTTTGGTGCTTTCTAGCCCTGCTGCCCCTGGTGGGTGCCCATTCAGAGGCAGTGCTTGGAGGAGGCAGGGCAGAAAAGCTGGGCCATTGGCCCTGAGTGGCCACCCGTCAGGGGAGGGGCCTAGGAATCACTGAACACCCTTTCTGCTGATAGATGTATCAACGCGAAGCACGAAACCAAAAGTTCATGCCCAACTCTACTTGTGATTGATTGCATTATAATGTTACTGTCGGTTTATATATGGTTACTTTAATGTTTATTGTTTTGTATTGTTTTATAAGCAATCTTGGGATCTAGTTTGGTAGAAATAAAATATAGATAGATAGATGAGATGAGTGATTTTACCAGTTCGAACACAAGACCGCCACAATGAGTTTCCATGGCTTAGTGAGGGATTAAAACGAGGTCTTCTGAGTTCCAGTTCATCACTCTATCCACTGCATCACACTAGATGGATAGACAGATCTATAAACAATTAACATACACAGTTAGGAACATCTTAAAAGTGATTGAGATTATTGGTCCATCTAGCCCAGTTCTGTCAACTCTAGCTGGCAGCAACTTTCTAGAGTTTCATATAGGTAGCTATATTGATCAGACCAACAAAACACATCCATCAGTATTCACCTCCAGTGACAGCAAGTGGGTTTTTTATAGAACTATTGTCCTTTAATAGCCCATTGAAGGCCAAGCCATGCCAAAATATGTTGCATTACAATACATAGTTGCTGTGAAAATTCATTCCCCTTCTAATGTGATGATCACAACTGAGATGTTTGACCACGGGTGATGCTACCGTTTCTGCTAATCATGAAGTGCTGGTATTCTATCCCTGTGAGCCCTGGTTCCACTACATCACCCACTGTTGGATGGTGGGTTCATTCTAGAGGCCCTCCCTAGTTAGCAATGGAGATTTATACCATTTGGCTGCTTAACCTGTGATATTAGGAGGATGCATTATATTGATGTGAGCCTTTCAATTCTTTAAATTGCTGTGATGTAAACCTTCATTGTTTAAAAATGAAGATTTTTTAAAAATGTAATAAGAGTTCATTTATTATTGCTCATGCAAAAAGTAGCAATTTTTGCCATATTACAGTGTTGATTAATACACATACAAAAATAGATGTTAGTCTGTATGGGGAGTTGAGAAGTATCTTTTGTATAGAATTCACATAATAGTGAAATTGATCATAACTTCACTAGGACCTAATGTTCTATGTAACTACCATGCTTCTTTGTATAGATTTTTCCCCATTTATTCTTTTCTCAGTTTCTTTGCGCTCTTTGAGAATTAAAACAGCATGTTCCCACTTCTGCTTTCCAGAAGATGTATTTACAGTACAGTACAAAAATCATCCTGCACACTGCCTGAAAGAATCCAGGGACATGTTGTTATGTGTCTCTTAACTGTGTAAAAAAAGTAACCCACAGCAAGGAAGATAAAGATGACCTGGAGCAGTGCAAAAGAAGGGGAAACATGAACAAAGGGACATTCATGAAGATGTATATCTTAACCGTGGGTGGCCAACAGAATTAAAAGAAGCATTCCCTCACCATTTAGAGATATTTGTGTCCAGGAAATGAGTATTGCATCATTTTGCAGAAGGCTGGAAAGTCTGTTTCTAACCTAGGGGTTCCTATTCGGCCTGTACACTGGATTTACCAAAGCTGGAATTACTAAGCAAATTGACTGATTTGGGTGAGGTCTGGATCTAAGCAGAGTGGCCAGATTTGGGTCTGGGGGCAAAGCAAAGTGAATTTACAAATAGATTAATATTCAGAGCACAAATCAAATCAGATTGGTCACTTCGGGCTTGGGTTTTGTGTGTGTGTGTGTGTGTGTGTGTGTGTGTGTGCGTGTGTGTGTGTGTGTGTGTGTGTTTACAACTTCATAGATATGCAAACACCTGAAACTAAGCTGTCTGAAAATTGGAAGGCTTTTTCTCCTTAGAGTTTATTGTGTCTCAATAATTCATGTGCACCAGTAGAAAAACATAAATATCTTCACCATTTTGGTTCTCTAGTGGTTGGCTTTGGAAATCAGGTCAGATTGGAACAGGAATTAACTCAATCACCAGTTAGTCCAGACTCAACTAGGATCTATTCCAAAGCCCTGAACTGGCCTGTGAACCAAACTATTTGGCCCATGAGCAGCCCTAGTTCCTATGGCATTTTGTGAGAGGCAATCTGTTTAAATTGTTGAAGGCTGTATTCTTATGCATATGTAAAGAGGTCTTTCCACCTGAGATCAGCCCAAAATTTGCTGAGGGGTGGGTGGGCAGAGGGCCTGCCCCTTCTCCCCTGTTTTAATCTGTTTCCATGCATCAACTGTATGCACCTTCCATTTGAATTGTGTTATTATTAACTATCTAAAATGCCTTGTGTGAGAAAGGTGGGGTAAAAATGAAACCAATGACTGATAACTATTGTGGTTGCTTTCCATAGGTCACGAAGGAGATCCCTGCTTAAGATCTTCTGACTGCAGTGAGGGCTTTTGCTGTGCTCGCCACTTCTGGACAAAAATTTGTAAACCTGTGTTGCATCAAGGAGAGGTGTGCACCAAACAGCGCAAGAAAGGGTCCCATGGTTTGGAGATTTTCCAGCGTTGTGACTGTGCCAAAGGGCTATCCTGCAAAATCTGGAAGGATGCCACCTATTCCTCAAAAGCAAGACTTCATGTGTGCCAGAAAATCTGATGGTGATTCTGGAGACTCTTGTTATCAGACCATGAAGAATCTGTTTGCTGTAGATACTACAGCATGGTGGAACTCAAGGACTGTAAATAAGGACTAAAAGGCTCAAGTAGCCATAGTGACAGGATGATGTACCATCATCCCAAAGTGAATTATATTTCTGCCCTGGAAATGAAGACAATGACAGCTGAGCTTTCTCCATGATGTGATGCTGTTCTGTCAGTGGTGCCAAATGTTTGCAGAAAGACCCTGATTGACCAATGGCCTTGTGACTTCTTCACATCATTTGTGGTTACATTCCCCTATGGTGATTGTGAAGTAATGATACAGACCATATTTACAACACGAAGCAGAGTTTTGCCGAAGGATAGTTCTAGCTACACATTCTTGGATGCAGAATGAAAAACATCCCAGGCAAAGCTCTTTGAAGTAAAGTGGAAAGTATTACTGAACACCTCGTTACTGGTTAACTCTAACCTTTAGTGATACAAGGCTGACACTTCAATGAGAAATGTTCTTCTGCTGAGCAAGTGTGCCACATCTTTCAGGCTGCAGTGCAGAGGGAAGCTCTCCAGGGCAAAGTGATTTCCCTCCACCAAGATGGCTTTTACCTGGAATGGAAGCACTTAAGCAGGAATTGTGATCTAATTGAATCTTCAGCCACCATTTCCAATATCTTCTTTTGGTTACCATTTACTACTAGCATTTGTGGGGGCTAAGAGCTAAAGCAAACTGTCAATGGATACATCGTAAGGAACAGTCTGCTTCACTGATGGCTGTAAATATCTGGGGTAATGAGGGTTGTACTGTGAAGGCTTTTTCAGATTTACATCTAGAGGAGCATCCCAATTCCATTGACTCTGTACATCTTGGTTGCAGATATTAGTACAGATTTACTATCATTTGGAGGGAGATACTGAAATAGAGGCACTGTAAGATGGCAGTGGGGGGAAAAAAGGAAGCACCGAAAGGAACTTAGAGATGTCCTAGTAAATGACACCACAAGATGAAATAAAGCCACTCAGACTACACATCCTTATCTCATGTACATTTTAGGAATATGGATAACTCACCTGCTCCTGATTCCCATAAATTGTCATAGATAACAATGCTCACTTTCATCACAACCATATTAATGGAGGGACAAAAATAAATGACGATTTCTCTTATCTTTTCCCCCCTCTTCGCAGCATGCCTGCATTTTCTCTTTCTATACTTGCTTGCTCATTTTCCAAATGTGTTATTTGTGTTATACGGAAAGATAGAATGAGTGGCTGATGGACAGAATGGTGATTTTGTTTGTTTTATTTTTATGCCTCTCTCTGGGACTGTGAGTTTTACCTGCCACAATGTGCCATATGCAATCACAGAGCCCACAAGAAAATCAAAACTTTGATAGCAATGTAAAAAAAAATGTGTGTGATAGCTAGCAAGCTTGTCACAATCCATATTTTCTTGGCCTTCTGAAGACATGAGAGTGTGTCCTGAAAAAACTATGACCTATTTGCGATTCATATCTATAAATCAAAACCACCCAGTCAATATAGGTCTTGTCCATCACTTCTCTATTTCTTCTTCAGAAACAAGCTCAGCAGTGTTGATATTAGGGGGATTAAGGAGAATGTTCATTCAATTACTAAACAAGAAGGTAAGACAATGCTAAAGATTATTTAGAAGCACATGTATGCACTACAGGTTTTGCACCATTGTGGCTTCTTTCCAAAGAAGATGGGGCACAGCAGTTTACCAAGAGAGCAGAGAATTCTCTTAAGTCTGCATTTTAGTCTTTGATGTAATGGAAATGGAATGGTTTTAGAGTTTAATGACTACACATCCACCCCTTTGATCTCAGCTGAGATTCTGTATGTGCTATAAATTTGGGGGAGTATCACATGAATATTTGTGCTATAAAGCTTGGGTGGATTTTTTTTTCAAGTGAAAAGCTGCCATGGTAGGTAGCATAGTATCACTGAGATAAGGGTGGCTATATATTTTCTTGTTAGTCATTTTTCAGTTCAAAATAGTCTCAGTCTGGTGTTTCCTCCTCACAGGGTTCCAGAAGTATGTTTACCTTATAAACATGTAGGTGGAGTCAAACAAGATGATATGTTTATCATGTTTTTAGAAGAGCTGCTCTTTCAAGTGGTGAAATACATCTGCTTGTCATAATATGTGGATTCAGCAAGTTGTTTTGTTTTCTTATTGGTTACAGGAAGGATAACAAGGGCTTCATTTGCCAGTTTGCTATGTATATGTTAGGGAATCTTGTTGTGGGAAAGCAAATAGGATAATTACAGGTAACGTGCATTTCCCTTAATTTCTTCTTTGTCTCTGGAATTCCATGGCAGACATTAAAATGGTTTCAATTTTGAATGAAATAATTTTGAATGGGTAAACAATGCTGAGGTGAGAATTAACTGCTCTCTGAACAAACACATGCCCCAATATTCACATCCCTCTACTTTACATTTCAGCTTCCTAGTGCTACTTTACAGTTAAAACAAAATGAAACAAACCTTCAGTTCTTGGGTCTTAATCCATTGTGTGCAATGTTCCCCCCTCCCCCAGAACAATCACATGAGGGCAGGAGCAAACCAGGAACTTTAATTTTTTTTAAGGTCCGAAGCATCTGGTCTGAGTTCTCATTTTTCTAAATAATAATAAGACTACATAGAGGATCAATGTAAACTTCAAGAAACAAGGCTTTAATTCTGACTCTCATTGGGACTTTTTTCAAAGAGTGACCCAGAGAGATGTACTGAGTGCGCTTTAGCAGAATGATAACAGAACTAATGCTAAAAATTTACATCATTTTCAATGATGAATGTCTGCATTTAAAACCACTCTCTCTTTAAACAGATACATGCACATATCTAAAATCCTTTTGCCTCTGTGAGACAGAAGGAATCTATATCCCCTTTAGCACAGCTGGTGGTTACAGTGTAAAGTTCCCTTTCGTTTAAATGTTATCAGATGGCTTCTGCATGTCCTTCCCTTTTTTCATGCCAAATCTAGTATTTGAAATAATTTATTTACAGGAAGTGTTTAATAAGATGTATTTTCTTATAGAAGATATTTCATACAGAAAGCTTTGTAGCAAACTATACTTGCCAACATGTTGACATTGTAATTTAGAAAGAAATGTATAATAAGATGAAATATATTAAAATGCCCATTTCCCCATAGTTGTCTGTGTTCTTTACCCGTTTTCTTACAGGTAAATTGTGGTGCAAAACAGAAAGCTAGAAGAGCTGTTGATGACCAAGAGTTGTTCTGCAGATATCTTGCGTCCACTGGAATGGTCAATTTTTCTTCTATAGACATCCTACATCCATTGGTCTATTACAGGGATGGATAATTTTTGTAGGACATTGGTTCAATCCCTCAGTTTCCTCAGGACCCACTTTGGGCTCTGCACTCCACTAGCACTGAGCATCAACAACATTCAGCAGTAGAAGTAACCAGAACCCCATCTCTTGTTTAAAAACAACAGGTGCATTTTTGCTTCTGGCAAGTCATGTGGAGATTGTCCATTTTCTTGTTAGAGGAGAAATGTAGTTTTGGGGGAAGTCTCTTGGGTATGTGATTTCTCTTTAAAGCAAGCTGTATGCCCCTCATGAAGCTTGTTTGAAGCAAAAATGTGCTTATATGATAAAATTCAGCAGTAATGGTGGTTGTGGGATTTTGGGGACAAATGAACTGGGTGAGGAGAACATTTTACCCACAGAACACATGTGGTCCATCAGGCATAGAATTTTCTTTCTGTGTGTTTGTGTGTTCCAGTAGGATATTACCACAGTTCACCAGGAATTCCCCACTCAGAATTCTACACTTGTAGCCAAAAAAACTGAGTCCTCAGAAGAGTCTCATCACATAGATCTGAGTCACTGCAAAGAAAGAGTGGGTGGAAGTATTTAAGGGTTGCGGGACTTGTAGTCTATCTGCTCATTACATATTGGTTCTCAAAAAACTACCAGTAGATTCAGCAATGTAACATGTTATGGCTGTGGTTTACTTAAGAAATTATACAAGAGCCTCCTCCAGCACCACAATTCAAAAGCAGCAATTCTTCGGCGGTCAGCTTTCTTTATGATCCAGCTCTCACTTCCATACATCATTACAGGGAAAGCCATAGCTTTGACTATTCGGACTTTTGGTGGCAAGGTGATGTCTCTGCTTTTTAAGATGCTGTCAAGGTTTGTCATCACTTTCCTCCCAAGAAGCAGGCATCTTTCATGGCTGCTGCCACCATCTGCAGTGATCATGGAGCCCAAGAAAGTAAAATCTGTCACAAAATCTCTGTGCCAGGCAGAGCAAATTCTGAACAACAATCTCATGAGAATATTTCAATTTACACAGAACCTAACAGACTCCATTTTTGTATGACTACAAGTCCAATTTTCCTTCTGTTCCCTCATAGTGGAGATTTCTGGATATCATTCACTTGGGAGATATGTGTACTTGGTGCTTCATGGCTTGTCCATGTTACACTCTGAGAACAGCATTGATTGAATGGGATTATTTAGAGTTACATTTCCTGTTTAGAGTTATGTTTAAACTCATTTCTTCATATCATGGAGGTTTGTTTAGTACAGTGGCAAGGCCTTATCTTCCAGTTACTGGTTACCTGTGCATGTGTGTATATGCAGAGAGGAAGGCTTTGAACAAACCTGGATGCCTTTGTAATAAGCCATAGGTGTAACCTATAGAGGAGAGAACAAGAGCCTTCAGTCCCCATGTCTCATCCAGCAAACGGAGCTTCTAGATCTGATTTACAGTGAATTTGGGAAAATTCCAATCAGGCAGGTTGGCTCTTCCTAGGGGAAGAGGGAGATGAAATCAAGTATAGTTGAAAAAAATGCTGGTCAGAGATAAAGCCAGGACTGGATGTCTACAGCCAGTGATGTCATGCTGTATGGCGATGTCCTTAACAGTGAGGGCATCATGACGCCTGCCGCTGGTAAGTGATCCACAATGAACTGTGGATGAGAATATAGTTCCACCTTAAGATGGTTCCCTATTTGTGTTGTAAAATCTTGTAAAACTCATTCTGTTTCTGTGCTGCCTGCTCCACAACTTCTTAAGCCACTGATGCCTTAAATGTTATAGCTTTATCTGTTGAACTTTACAATCAAGTCAGCTTCCCTCGCTTTCCTCTCACCCTCTCATGCAATATCTTGCCTTAATGAATAGCTCTGGGGCTTTCTGAACCTTGCCCAGAATTTTCGACATATTTCACTGGGCCTCATAAACTTACTGTCCAAGCGTGGATTTTGGAATTTTGTAATGGGCCAACATAGTTTGCTCGGTTCATCTTTAAAATGAATCTATTTTCACTAAAGCACTTGAACTTATAACCTTACTATAGAGAAAACAGAGACCTTGGGTTCCTTCAATCATTGCAACAGACTTTTAACCCTCTTGTGGTTAATATATTTTCTATCCAAACACAAAAGTGCTTTGTGAATAATGACCACCCAACACAATACAAAAATCTTACATGAAAAGTCATTTCCATGTAGGAAATTGCATAAATCCCATATGTAGATCACCACATGTGACAGGCATATACACACATGTATTTTGCAGCGTGTGCACACAGTGATTTACAAATATGTAAAACATGTTGATATATATGTGGGAATTCATACAACTTCCTAGGTGATTTTTGTAATGTGTGAACTGGCTCAAAGCCACTATGAGAAAAGTATTCTTGCTCTAATCACTTGGCATAAACTCTCTCCCTCCCTCCATCTAAGATCTACAGCCAATCATATGCAGATTTACTCTGAATTCCTGCTGTGATCAGTAAGATGGCTATATAGGTGCACTTAGCTTTAGGCATCAGTTCTACTGAAATTCATTAGCCAAAATTGAGTTGTTAATTCCAGTTGGAATAGAACTAAACCACAGATTCAATGAGTTTAGTCAACTATAATCATATGCTGTCAAGTAAATTCTGACTCATGGTGACCCATTTCTGGGTTTTGTTGTTGTTTAGTCGTTCAGTCATGTCCGACTCTTTGTGACCCCATGGACCAGAGCATGCCAGGCCCTCCTGTCTTCCAATGCCTCCTGAAGTTGGGTCAAATTCATGTTGGTATCCATGATACCAACATGGTAACAAATCCATGTTCTGGGTTTTAGGGACTAACAATTGCTTTTAAGATACATATTTAAGCCATACATGTTTAAGACTGCAATTCTTACATGGGGGTGTGTTCCAGTGAAGTGACAAGTTTTATTACATGTAAACTTCTGAATAGGATTTGGCTGTTCACATTACCGGCACCTTTGAATGCTGTATGTTGATTTCATATGATGTGATCTCTGAAGAAAAATAAGAATGAAACTGATCATCATCGGTGAGGGTGACTTAACAAAGCAGAAATTGATTTTAAAAGCAAACAGGATTCCCAAAACAGGATTTAAAATTCCACTCATGGTCAGAATGGAATAGCCAATATTTTATTTCTAAAAACTACTTATCAGCATTTATTGTGACAAACAATCTGTAAGAATCAGGACTAGGAAACAGAATATATTAAGCAGAAAAGAAGATGAAAAAGCTGGGGTAGCCAAACCAGAGAAGTAAATCTAGCAGCTAATGGTATATGCGAGTAGATAAATAGGTACCCCCACGGTGGGAAGGTAACAGCGTTCCGTGTCTGGTCGCGGTAGCCACGTGACCACAGAAACTGTCTGCAGACAAACACTGGCTCTACAGCTTGGAGACGGGGATGAGCATGGCCCCCTAGAGTCGGACAAGACTGGACTAAATGTCAAGGGGAACTTTTACCTAATGGTTTTACAGCTTTCAAAAAAAACCCAGCAACCTATCTTTAAACAGATTTCCCTCTTTTCCCTGTGTATAGACATAAAAACCTTCTGCTAATGGAAGGGTACTTGTATATAGCCATTATGAATCTCTTGCTTTAATAAAGCAGGGGAATAAATCAGTCATTTTAAATGTCCTTATTGCACCACCTGTGTCAAAGTTGGTGGCTAGGCCTCACACAATGAAGGACAGAGTTGTGATACCTTTAATAGTGATCTTTGTTTCTCTGTTCATATCAGCACTGCACAATTTAAAATAATGGATGTCTATCAAATATAGGTAAAATAAAAACAAATTAAAATGTTAAGATAATAAGATTATTTTTGAACAGGAGCAGGCTACTTCAATAGCATTATATCATCTATGTACTAGGTCTTCTTTCATACACATGGTGGGTCATAAATTGCATGCATGTAAGTGCTGCATTGATTGAATTCTCCACAATCACAGAAAATGTGCTCTCCAGGCAGGTAGCCCCATTTTACTGGATTACTGTTTGATCTTCCTACTTCACTTCAAAGTCTGTGAAGTGACTTCCAGATTGCCCAGTGGGAAACACTTTTTAGCACTCAGCCATTTGGCAAGGTGATGAGAGAACAAAAATGTCAGCAGGTGCAGCATAGATGACTTGCTGAAGTGGCTCCTTTCACACCAGTGGTTCCCAACCTTGGTTAACCCAGGTGTTCTTGGACTGCAATTCCCAGAAGCCTTCACCACCAGCTGTGCTGACTGAGGTAACTGGGAGTTGCAGTTCAAGAAAATCTGGGTTATCCAAGGTTGGGACCTACTGTTTTACACAACTATTGAAGATACAATTGTCTCCTCCATTGCTTGTAGCCACTCAAGGTGGGCAATACGTGCACTTGGACATTAGACTGCAACTCCAATGATCTCTCACAATTGACTAGCAGGGATTTTTAACCTTTTATCTTCCAACTGTTTTGGATTTCAGCTCCCAGAAGGACTGTTTTGGACTTCAATTTCCATTCTAGATGCTCAACGGTAAGGGATTCTGAGAGCTGAAGTCCAAAACAGCTGGAGGACCAAAGTCTAATAAACCACTGGACTATAGTGACCAGGGTTAACACAATTGCAGTACAAAAAACATGCAGAGGGCCAAATATGCCCCACTCCTGATATATGCAATGTGGTCATATGCATAGAAGATGGACAGAAACACACATATGGAAAAATCAAAGATAGTTTGCAAACATACACAGGCATACCATCTTCCCTTTGCAGTTTATAATTATTTCTTCTTCTCATTTTTGGAAGGAATGAAAGCTGGCTGATCAAAGTGTTGTGTTGCTGAAGCTGAACTATAAAGAGGTTTGTTTC